ATTGGAGCAGTCACTGCCCCCTCCAAGCCTCCTCCTTCTCCCTTTCCATGCTTGCCTCTAGTGCCACCACTTGCCAAACAACACACCAAGCCTGTTATGCTAGGTTAGTTGCTGATGACAATTTTAAAAAATTCAAATTAACAGGTGATGAATGCAGTTTTCATGAAGAAAATGCTGCATATTTGCTGATACCAAAGTACCTTGTGTTAGGTAGCCGGGTCCCCGTGCTGCCCAGCTTGGATGTGCTGCTGCTAGAATCTAAACGCCATTTCAGCGTCTTCAGCACAACTGAGCCCCCCCCCCCCCCCTTATGGACACTACTGTACTATGGAAGGGGCTTGTCCACTTTAAAAATGACAAAAAGGAGCTATTAATATCATCTTGCCCAGGATCCTGAGGGCTATCAGAGCAGCCCTGGATTTCTGATGCAGATATAACTGTACATCTAATTTTATGGACTATTTGCTGATTTGGGAGATGCTATGGGTTTCTTCAAGTCTGGATGCTCTTTTTTGCTGCTACAGTTCAGAACCATGTGTATACTCCCCAAATTAAAATAGTTACTTGCAATTATGCTGTTAGTCTTTCACCTTTAGAAAACAAGAAAAGCCCATTTTGTAACTGAGTCCCAGTTATTTTTATGATTAATGTATCCTTCCTCCTTATTAATAGAGCCAAAGATTTATAATGTCTGCTGATTTCCCTATAATTATAACTCTAGTGACATGCAGTGCTCTCCATAAGGAGTCAAGCTCTGTTTGGTTGAATGCTTTGTGAATTCTCACAGTGGTAAATTCCTTTGATGTGGCAAATCCCCAGCATCTCCAGCATCTCCAGAAAAGATCCAGTCATAGCCCTCAATGTCTTGCGCGCTAAGTGAGTAGTAACAGGTTGATGTGGCAAATCCCCAGCATCTCCAGAAAAGATCCAGTCATAGGTAATATGAAAGACCTCAACCTGATACCCTGGAGACTTTGATGGACCAATGTCTGGTTCAGTATAATGAAGCTTCATGTGTTAAAAGACATGATAGTGTAATTCACACATCGATAGTCAATAGTCTGAAACAGAAATAATTCACGCAAACAATTCACACATCTGAAACAGAAACAATAGCAAACCCTTCAACAGTTCCCATGTAGTTGCCTGAAAGCCACATTTGCTCACCAGAGGTGAATAGGTGGCAGCAGTTCACAAGCCTGCCACTGATTATCTTCTGTCTACTTTCATTAAAATACAGGGTTTTTTTGTCTGTTTGTTTTTTGGTTTAATGGCACTTTTTCGGAGTGGAATAGATTTTTGCCTGGCTTCTAGTGGTATGAGATGCTGGATGCCCCCATGTTGTTGATTTAAGGTATGGTGCATAATAACCCTGCCCACTAGGGTTGCCAGGCCCTTGGTCTGGGTGGGGTTTCCCCCACGTTTGTGGGTCTCTTTCCACTGCTGGCCAGCTGGCCGGCAGCAGGATACCCTGCCCACAAATGCCCCCGAATGCAACATGATGACATCACCCAGAAGTGACATTATGTTGCGGGGGTGATGCTCTAGTTTTTGGACAAAACCCTATGGTAAAATTGGTTTTGCCCAAAAACTAGAGCATCATCCCTGATGTTGGCAGTATGATGATGTCACTTCCAGGTGACATCATCACAGTGAACATGCTTTGCGTGCATGCCAAAAGATCCCAGGACAGACCTTGGAGCCCCCCACTGGCAGTCAGACAGGGCCTGGCAACCCTACTGCCCAGGCTCCCAAACTCTCTAGCTACAAGTACATATCATTCTAATACAATTATGTTTTACATTTTCCTAAAGCACTTAATTGGGCCTGCAAAACCTGTGATCACCAGTGGAGCCCACGTACCATGAATGGTGGATGGCCTACCACCATGATTTCATTGGGACAGCAAAAATCAGGGGACTTGCTAGGAGCAACACGGCATGAATGTACTTGGTGCCTGACTTAAAACGTGTTCCGTTTTTGTTGAAGCCGAGATTACGTACAAAAGTTTATTTAAAAATAATGTGAAGCCTGTAATGCAGCTAATGGTGTTTATGGGGAAAGAATCATTCAGTGCAGTTATTTAGTTTAATTAGCACCCCTGCTAATTTAACTTGCTGATGAATCCTCTGATCAGAAGTAATGTGTCATTCTCCCACAGATGAACCTGTCCAAACACAAACCCATATTGCCATCCCACATATTTACCATAAACACATTCTGATCTAAATTCTGCCTACGCTGAACAGTTCGTTGGAGGACACGCTCCATGTGTATCGATCAGATTCCAGATGGTTGAATTATAGTGCGTTCTTTAATTTTAAAAATTATGTTGTTATTATTAAATGGATATATGCAATAAACATATTGCCCTAAAAGCAAATACGGTGAAATACGAAACGTCTATTATCAAAGTAAAGAAATAATCCTTGTGGGTTTAGAAGGATTTCATGAACATTCAACACAACCACAAAGAAAACATAGACTTAACTCTATATTTGGTCATGCCTTAAAATATTTGCTGGAGAATGGAACTTTTGAAAGATTTCCTGCCTACATTTGATCTGAGAATGAACTGCTTTTGCTAAAACAGAGCTGATTTACACAGACAATTATCCATTTATAGCTACTCTTTGAAGACAGTTCTCTATCCAGTCTCAGGGGTCAAAGAGATGAGATGTGGGAGATCCCTGGAGCGTGTTGTTGTAGGTAAATGGCAGCCACGTGGGACCCCAGTTTGGTGTAAGGAAAGGGTTAGGTAATGCTTTCTACCTCTGTGGGTTTAGAAGGATTTCATGAACATTCAACACAACCACAAAGAAAACATAGACTTAACTCTATTACATATTTGGTCATGCCTTAATGCTTTCTACCTCTGAATTTTCTTGAGCTCAAATGGCCCTTTGCAACTGCTAATTTGCCTCATTGGGGTAAAAGTACAAATGTATTGCATCCTCAAAAAGGGGTGTGTGTGAATAGGAGCTCCAGGAAGATGTTTAAGATATGGGAAACAGTGTGCAGGGATAGCTAAAATTACTTCTCTGTGTCTTATCCTTGATCTGAATTTACCAATAAAAACTGCTTAGGAGATCCATTCCCAGGTCTTGTCACACCTAGTTTTGTGACAAAATAGACATCACATTTCTTTGGTTTGTTGATTTTAAAAAACGTACAGTTCTGTAACTCGTCATTTAGTGCTGTAACTAGCCTCTGTGCATGCTTAATTCTTAAATACCAAACAGAAAAATTCTATAGTTTTATTTTAATAACTGCCAATATGTTATGTGACCTTTGTCCTGTAGCTGGCTTGCACTAAGGACAGATAACCCCGTTGCCCCTGTCTGTGAAGCCATGTGGTGTCAAGCCATATTAAAATTTAAGTGCGTCATATCCATTGCTGTTCTTTTATCTACAAGGTTGAACATCGTAGAAGCAGATTAGGTATTTTTGTATTTGTATGCTTGAAGTGAAACGGATTGGTCTGTAGTGCCCTGGAACTCCTGTGTGTCATTGTCGATAGCCTTTTTCTAGACCCTTTTCACTGTCTCAGTTTTAGCCAGCTCTTTTTGTAGTCTAGGACTGAGGTCATTCAGCCCACTGATTTCAATATGTCTCTGATATTCTCCCCTCCACACACACACACTCTGGGTGACTCATTGCTTTTCTTAGTGAAGCCTTAGTGATAGGATCTTATCTTTTCTGCAAAGACTGAGGATGAGGAGGCATTTGAGGTGTCTACCTTGCCAGCATAATTGGTTGCAAGTTGTTCTCATCGTTACCCTGGGTTTAGTCACTAGCACTCAAGTTTAAATGTGTTAGCACAGCGTCTTTCTTGCTCTCGTGTGTGATATATTATGGCTTTGCTTCTAACAAAAGGGCATGATTCAGGCAGAGTTTATTTACTTACTTGTATTTATAGTCCACCTTTCTCATTGAGTTTCAAGGCAGATTATGTATGTAAGTAAGTGCTGTAAAGTTGCAACCGATTTATGGTGACCCCAGCAAGGGGCTTTCAAGGCAAGTGCGAAGCAGAGATTTACCACTACTTTCCTCTGCAGAGTCATCCTTGGTGGTCTCCTGTCCAAGTACTGACCCTGCGTAGCTTTCGAGATCTGACAGGATTGGGCTATACCATGCAGTCATGCCTCCCCAAGGCATATTACATAATTTAAAAAGTGCGAAAAAAGCCAGTATAATATGTACAAAGAAATAAAATGAGAACAATGAAATAAAATCAGAACGATAAATCCGAGAAACCATGCTACGTATATACTAAACTTCTCACTGGCATTGAAACTATAATCCTATCCCCTTCATTTTGGTATAGTGCTCTGGTATAGTGGTTAAGAGCGGTGGACTCTAATCTGGGGAACCGGGTTTGATTCCCCACTCCTCCACATGCAACCAGCTGGGTTGCCTTGGGTCAGTCACAGCTCTCCCAGAGCTGTTCTCTCATGAGCAGTTCTCTCAGCGCTCTCAGCCCCACCTACCTCACAGGGTGTCTGCTGTGAGGAGGGGAAGGGAAAGGGGTTGTTAGCCACTCTGAGACTCTGAGTGAAGGGCGGGGTATAAATCCAACTCTTCTTCTTCTTTATAAAAATGCTCTCCTAAGGACATCACATTCTGCAGAACAACAAAAGTGTGGGAACTTCCTGCCCTCACAAGGGGGGGTGCCACAACAGAGAAAGCCCAGGTATGGGCATTTAAGCCTACTTAAGTCTCACGGGTTTCAACATGGAGTTGGAAATTATCAAGATTTAAGTCCTTCACTGTGGTTGTATTATTACCTTTCTCCCTTCCTGCTAACAAATGTTCTTCTCTAGCCATTTTGCCAGCTCTACACTTCTTATAATCTTTCTTTTTTTGGATTTTAGAACATCAGCCATCTTGACTGAGCCAATAGGTCAATGAGTTACAAATGCAGTAAATAGCTGTGCAATTATTATTTTTTTTAGTTTAACTTGTTTCTTAACAATCACACTCTGTCTTTTGCTTTGCAGGGTACATACCCAGTTACTTAGACAAGGACGAACTATGTGTTGTGTGTGGTGACAAAGCCACTGGGTATCACTATCGCTGCATCACTTGCGAAGGTTGCAAGGTAAATAATAGCTCAAGCAAGAGAACGGGAGCTGGCAGCGATCAGCCAGTTTGTTCTTCAGCTGCTGGACAGTCACTGAAATATGCATGCTGGTTAGGAACGACCCAGATAAGATTAAGAACTGTCACAGATAAGGTGGATACTGATATACCACTGATTTTAGTTTTTAATACAGGTTAATTTTTTTCAGATGAACTAGAAAAACCTTCAAAGGCACTTTTTCCCACTTCAATAAGACTTTTGTGAGTTTTTCATTTCTACATTTATTTGAAACTGTTGGTAGAAAGTGTAAAAGAGCATCAGTTAGTCCATCTCTTTGCAGCTGCTGACATGTTCAACTCACAGAATTTTTATTCTGTTGACTGGAATGACATTTTGCTTGCCCCTGCTCTTTTTTACATTAATGGCTTTATGTTCTTTGCTGACTAGCATGTCTATTTATGTGATATCCAGCAACTGGGTTATTTCCAAAATACATTTGCATGGCTGTCATGAACACATAGTGGAAATTTCCTGTGATGAAATTAGATTATCTGGTGAATTTTACGTCAGTTTTAGAGGGATGTATGTATGTATGTATGTATGTATAAAAGAAAGTCCCCTCACAGTAAAATCAAAGCCCAGGCAAAACCGCTGGACCTAGAGACACCAAATTCGGAGAGAGCGCTCCTACTGTGGCGTAGGTGCTCACTAAGAAGGGATTTTTAGAAATTCAACCTCTGAGTCAAAAGGGGGGAAATGTGCTCCAGCCATTGATTCCTATGCGGCTGCCAGGCAACTGCCTCTCTGCACCCCCCACTCTCTGATTGGTCAGCTGCAGAGCTCAGTGTTCTAAGGTTAAAAAAAAACAACAGTTACAGGGGACTGCAGACAGCTAATGAGGTGAAGCAAAGCTGCTGGCCCAGTCTCTCTGATGGCTTCCAACACACTACCCCCACCTCCTACACGTAACAGGCGGTTGTCTGTCAGGTGCAGCCCCACCTCCACAGTGACTTCTAATAGTCCTCTCCCTCCCCCTCCTACACTGGACAGGCAGCTGCCTGTCAGGTGTACGAAAGGAGGTGGGGTGGCTTCCAACACACTCCCCCTACCTCCTACACCTAGCAGGTGGTTGTCTGCCAGGTGCAGCAGTGGTTTCAGGGTGCTTAAAGCCATGAGGGAGCCCGCCCCAGCTGTAACGCCTTAGTGATCCTGCCAGCC